AGCATAAGATTGAGAGCCTTGATACCTAATCTTTGTGTATATGAAGTTATGAATCGAAGTCAAGACTCCTAATTCCACTACATTCTTCCAAATCATGGCTAGACCTCCACCACTACAGCCATGGGGAGTCACCACGGAGCAGGAGTTATAGCCATGAAGTTATGATATTTTTAATGTTTGTAGGTTTAAGGTTTGTGATGAGATCCGGAAGTGTATTTTGCGGATGCTTCGTTCGATGTTAAAACATCCATATGAAAAGTATTCCGACATGCCGATAGATGTAAAGGAGTCATGGCATCGAACATTCGCGGTAAGATTTGTTTTTTTTCTTCTATTTGATGGTTAACGTTTTTTATATATATTTTCTAATGCTTTTTTGTATTTTTTTAGCAAAAGTTCACTTGGGACCATAGGAGAACGACTCAAGTGTTGCAAACTTTTGACCAATATGCTGGTATCCAATACTCACGACACATGTCACAATGGAAGAGGGCTTACGGTAAGAAGAAGAAGAGAGCGAAGGATTTAGAAGATCATGTGTGGAAAGGCTTTTGCGAGTACTGGAGTGTACCTTCGACAAAGATCATCTACGAGAAGAACTCGGAAAGTCAAGGGCCGCTTTGCTGTATTGGGTGGACTTCCAAGCCTTGAAATAGTATCTTCTTCACTCGCTTCTCGGATCATTCCATTCCGAGTACAAGTCCGAGATTGAAAGGCTTAACAAGGTCCAAGAATGTGACGCGAAGGTTGAAGAATTGGAGAAAATGCAAGAGGAGTTGAAGAGTTGAACAAGATGAAGAAAATTATGATGAACAACTTCCCGGGATCGATATTTAACTAGTCCGGTTTTAGTTTTTTTAAATGCTATTTTTATTTGCAACTATCTTTATGTTTTATGGATTTCGAATTTAAATTTTAATTATTATCAGATATTTTAATTTAATTAACGTATTTTAATTAATTATATACTGTTTAAAAAAACAATTTTAAGAAATCCGTTGAAAATCTGTTGGCAATGTCCGTCAGAAATCCGTTGAACACCTTCTGTCTTAAACTCGTTGTAAATGTTTTGTCAAAGATCCGTCGGAAAGGTGGTCGTGATGGATCCAATCCATCAAAAGTTTGTCGATGAACTTGTCGAACATTTTGACAATTTTCCGAAGATGATTGCCATCGTAAATTTGTAGCTCGCTGGGGCAGACTTCACCATGTCTTAAAGCTTTTGCATCTGGACAAGCCGCGGCTTTTAAAATGTTCAAGACAATTAAGAGGAGCCCAACTATCGATGTTTATGACACGAGCGGT